CTGTACACACACATGCACACACACACACACACACACACACACACACACTTTTGTGCGCGAGTGCACGCGCACAATAACACACGCACATCCACACACACACACACACACACACACACACATGCACAAACACATCCATACCCACGTCCAGAAGAACAAGCATGCACACACGCACGCACACACACACACACACACAAACACCCACATCTACACACACCCATCCACACCCATCCACACACCCATCCACACAATCCAAAACCCACCCTGTGCTGCGCCAGCAGTGCGTCCGGCTGAGGTGGCACACCCTCTGCATCAAACTCCCGCCAGTACGCCTCCTCTGCACATGCCCCCATTCCCCCGACACACATGGCTCCCCCCCACTCACGCACACGCGCACACTCCCACACACGTCCACAATTTGATGCTTTCACAAATCCCCCCCCCCAAACACACACAGACAACCCTCCACACCCCCCCAAAACCCACCCGGTGCTCTGCCAACAGCGCGTCCGGCTCGGGAGGCACCCCCTCTGCATCGAATTCCCGCCGGTACGCCTCCTCCGCCGCGGCCGCCGCCCTGCGGCACTCCGCGTCGGCCACGCCCTGCGGCCGCGCGGGGTGGCGGTGACGAGGTGTAGGTGTGCGGTTTCGTGAGCCGCTGCGCGCTCTGACCCGCGGGCTGGTGGAGTGGATGGTGCCAGGGGCCGGCGCGGGCGGCCGTGCGGGTCGCGGCGGCGGCGAGAGGGTGCGGCGGCGAGGCTTAGGCGACCCTATCCGGCGCCGGCCCCCTGGGCAAAGGGGGGTGGGGAGGTGAGGGGGGCCCGGGGGGGAAGTGAGGTTTGAGGTGGAGGGTTGATGGGGAAGCGGCCCGCACCTGCCAGGCCGTCGCGATGGTGGGCACGGCCCCCGCATTGATGGCCGCCACGTAGGCAGTCGCTAGGCCCGCCAGCATCGGCCCGTTGATGATCTGACGAGGTTGGGGCGGGGAGTCGAGGTTGGCGTGTTGCGGTGTGCATGTGCGTGAGCGTCCGCGTGTGTGTGCGTGCGTGCGTGAAAGCCGACGGCCTTGCCTGGGACCGATATCCCAAGGCACGGGGCAGGCTGTGACGAAGAAAGTCGGCGGGCGTGCAACAGCAGAAAGCGCGCCGCCGCCCTCCCTCAAGCGCAGCGCTCACCTGCGAGCCGATGCGCTTGGGCGCCGCGCGGCTGAAGAGCAGCGACGTCAGTCGGGCCACCCCCTGCGCAAGCGCATGCAGGACACGTTTGGTAGGTTTGTCAGGCGGCGTTTGTCGACGAATTGTGATGCTGCATAACCCTTCGGACGACCACTCCTGGTGCACCCTTGCACACACACACGCACATACATACACACGCATACACATGAATGCACACAAACACACACGTGCACGGCCAGAAATTGTCTCAGCCCATGCGGCCCCCGGGAACGCTGGCCCCGCCCAAACGAGTGACGGGAGCCCGCCCCTGCCCACACCACACAGCACCCTCCGCAGCCCGCTCCGCACACACACACACACGGCAGGTAGCTGCTGCATCAGCCCCAACCCTCAAAAAATCCCAAACCCTGAAACCCTGGAACCCTGATATATGAGACCCTGGAGCCCTGAAAAGCTGCAGCCTTCAACCCTGGAACCCTGTAGCTCTGAACCCTGTGGATTTTCGCCCCCCAACCTCTGTGAACTGGGGCCGCAGCAGGTCTGCCTCGTACGGGTGCACCGGCAGCTCATCGTCAGCAGCCGCCCTTGCAAAAGAAATGCAAAAACCCTTGCAGAATTTCAAACCCTGAAGCCCCGGGATGTCAACTCTGCAACCCTGGAATCCTAAACTCTGGAAACTCTGAAGCCCTGAAACCCTGGAACCCGGGAATCTGTTGTTCGTCCCCCGAACCTCTGTCAATAGGGGCCGCAGCAGGGCGGGGTCCGCCTCATCTGAGTGAACCATCGGCTCCTCATCAGCAGCCACGTCAGCCCCAAACCCTCGCAAAAACCCAGACCCTGAAGCCCCAGGATCTCAACTCTGAAACCCTGGAATCCTAAACCCTGGAAACCCTGGAGCCCGACAACCCAAGGGCCCTAAAACAGTAAAGCCTGTGATATTTTGCCCCCGGACCTCTGTGAACTGGGGCCGCAGCAGTGCGGGGTCCGCTTCATCCAGGTGTATCAGCAGCTCCTCATCAGCCGCGGGCCGCACTAATGTGAAGCAGTCGCGGTCGGGGAAGAGCCCCTTGATGCTGCGGCGGATCTGGGGGGTTTGGGGGTGGGGGCCAGGGTGGGGGCCAGGGGTGCGAGCGGATCGTGCTAGGCAGTCGCTGCGGTGCGGTGCTGTGGTCCCCTGACGCCTGCAGAATGACCATGAGCAGTGTCACACACGTGTGCACACACACAGACACACACACACAGACACAGACACACAGACACACACACACACACACGTGCACAAACACGTGCACACACACACACACATACACACAAACGCACACACACATACAGACACACAACTCCCCATGCCCTCACGTCGTTTTTGGCCTGTATGGCGTCGCTCGTGCCCTCCTGCGGGCTCAGCGCTGCCTCTAGGTATTCCCGCGCGGACACCTGCACAGCAGCAGCAGCGGCGTCAACCACCCAGGCAAGCTGCCTGCACTGCAGCCGGCGACCCGCCGTCGCCCCCCACGTGATAAGAGGAGCGCCGATCCCGCGTCGCCCCCCGCAGCGGCGGCCGCGTCGGCGTCCGCGGCTGGGCACCGCCAGCAGCGGCAGCAAGCGCAGCCACAGCTCGCGCCCTTGCCCAAGAAAGCTCCCCCACCCTTGCACCCACACCGACACCCGCACCCACATCCACGTCGGCACCCGCCCCCACCCCCGCCCCCACACCCACCTTGCGCCCCTCGTCGTGCAGGTCAAAGTAGAAGTCCCGCAGCAGCCACAGGAAGGTGGGCGTGAAGGACCCCAGGTCTTGGCTGTCCCCCAGGGCCTCGCCGGCTGGGGAGTGGGCTGGTTTGCGGTTGCCGGGGGAGGGGGGGTTGAGGGTGGCGTGGCGGATGGGTGTGTGAGTGTGTGTGTGTGTGCGTGGAGGGGGGGGGAGTTGGGGTTTGGGGTTGGTGGGGAGTCCCAGGGCGATGGTGGTGTTGGTGAATTGAGGGGCGGTGTAGCGACTAGGTGGTGAGGGGCCCTTAAACCCTTGATCACCCGCTCAGTGACCCACTCGTCCGGCCTGCCCCTCAAGGGACCAGAAGGGTTGCGGGTTGTTTGGAGGGCTGTTCGTGAGCGCAGATGCCGAGCGAATGCGCGCGCGAGTGAGGCTCGCGGCACACATGACCCCTCAAGAGCACAAGATCTTCTGTTTGGGCGCAAGATTGGCACAAGCTGTGGCAGGTTGGGGGTGGGGCGTAGGAGACTCGCGCCTCGCGTTCGGCCGCCGCGGGAGCGCTCACCCCCGCCCTCCGTCGCCCTGACCCTGATGTGTCGCGTGATCTGAGGGGGAATGGGGGGGATAAGGGGTGGGGGTGGAGAGGGGATCGGGGGGAGGCAAACGTGGGGGGAGGTTTGGGGGGGCCGGTGCGATAATCGCCGTCTCAGGGCTGCGGGAGCGGCCGTTTTCGGTTGGGCAGGCCCGTCTGCACGCAGCTTGGCGAGTGGTCCTGCCCCTTGGTCGAGAGCCAGCCCTTGGCCGCACCCCCATTGCGCCGCCGCCGCCGCTGCCCGCCTACACACAACATCGCACGAGATCCTGGCGACACCCAAGCTCGCCCACCAGCATCACTTGCCCGCCGCAGCGTCACCTACCCCAGCCCCTCCACTCGCGCGCCCGCTGCAGCATCGCCACCGCATCCCCTGTGCCCACCGCCACGTTACCGGCCGCGTCACCCGCCGGCGTCACCCGCGCCCCGCCCACCTCCGTCACCAGCCCCAGCCGGTCTATCGCCGCCTCGTCGATCGGCCCCATCTGGTTGAAAACAAACATCGAGCTCAGCAGCACCGCCAGGCTCAGCAGCTGCACGCCGTCCTGCGCCGTCTGGTTGTAGGCGTCGATCCCCTCGCTGTCCAGGAGCAGCTGCGGGGCGGGTTTTGAAACAAGCTTAGGATTTCTAGAAGATTCCGAGGTCGCCCGCTTGTGGAGCCGTCCAGGCTCATGGGATGTGACTTTTTGGGTGTTGTTGGGGAGAAGGGGTGTATTTGATGGACAAAGGAGATGCAGGCTCTCGGCCGTACCGGTCACAGCAGGCAAGATGAGAGTGTAGCTGAGCAGCGGCGATCGCTTGTGAGTTTTTTTGTCTATTCAGAGGCTGCGCCGTGCGCCTTGAAAATATGCAGCCGCCCCCCAAGCTTGCCCGAGCCCCGGCGCCGCGGCCTCGCGCCCGCCCGGCTGCGGGCGCCACCGCGGCGTCGGCGGCCTGCCGAGCCGCCCCCGGCTGCGGCGCGCTCGGGTCCCCTCCTTTTCGCGTGCCGGCCGCGGCGCCGTGCTGCCGCCGCTCGCGGCCAAACCGCGCGAGAACCAGTTGCGCCCGCGCTGTCAGCCTCGGCGCGTTGCCGCCGCGGCCGTGTTGCCGCAGCTGCTGCACAGCCGAGGTGGCCCGTATGAGGCAACATGGCCCCGGCGCGGCGCCCTCGCCAGGCAGTCCCTCACCAGGCAGTCACATGCATGTCGCTGTGACTAGAATGTATGAAAAGACTGATAATGCATGTATGCAATTCCTGTGTATCACTCACCAGGTGGTACGGCTGCCCGTCGGGCCCAACCAGCCGCACCGGCCGCGACCAGATCCACAGCCCCTTGGTGCACGGCCGGTGGCTGTGCGCCAGCCGGAAGCCGGCGCTGCGGCCAAGCAGCTGGTTTAGGATGAAGGACTTGCCGGTCCGCGCGCGGCCGCACACGGCAACCACGCCGACCGGCGTGCGGATCGTGCGCAGCAGGCGCGCCGCGTCCTCGCAGACCTGGCGTGGTGAGTTTTTTAGGGTCGGTATTGGTGTGTGGGGGGGATCAGGCGCGTTCGGCGGGTCTTCGACCGCCGCCGGTGTTGGTGTGAGGTGGGACCAGTGCCCAATTCGCATCACTGTTGCCGACACTGCATCATCGTTGCCGACAGGGCGGCACTGGATCGGGGCTCAGGCCAGCCACATCTCACCTCCATGTCCCCCGTGATCTCATTGAAACGTATGAGCTGAATTGGGCCCGCGTCCACCGCGGGCACAGACATCTTTGATTTGGAGCCTTGCCGCGAGGAACCCCTGCCAGCCCCGTTCATGGTGGCAGAGGCTTCCATATATGCAGACTTGTTTGCAACTGTGTACGGAGCTGGGTCTAGATCGCGCTGACAACGCCTCCTCGGGGGTTGCAATAGAGGGCGGCCCGTATGTTTTTGATATTATTTACTGTACCTTCCACATGCGCTTTGACAGGGAGTGAGCAGACACGAGGAGAGCATGCACTGGTCCTGATCCCCCTGGCTGGTCTGTGTGGGCTCGGCTGGTCGGGGCTGCGATCACCGCAGTTGCATGATGACAAGTCGGGGCCTGGGTTGCGATGCGGGTACTGCAGGCGCAATCCAACGATCACATCCAGCTTACAGACCATACGCTAAACACCGCAGGTTCCCCGCGAGCTGCAAGTGAGTAACAGGGCGGCGCTGCCTGTCTGGGTGGCTGCATGACATGACGCGACGTGTGACTCGCATACTGGCTGGGTGGGAAGCTGGGAACCTCCTACCAGGTTGATGCTCGCGACGAATCGCAAATCCTCTCTGCAAAACAAATGGAAGGGTTCAGGTACAGATGAGAAAGCGTTCGCAATAAATACATCCAGCCGCCCGCCGGCCCGATTTCGGCCGCGACCGCCGCTCACCCCCGCTGCCGCTGCTTGTCGCTGCCGCTGAGGTGGGCCGTGGGCGGCCGCTGCAGCAGCTCGTCCACCACGCTGCCCGGGGGCCCGCTCGACCCAAACATCCCAACCCCGCCGCCAGCAGGCCTGCCGCCGCGCCCGTCGGTTCCCCCCGGGCCCGGCCGCGGCCGCGGCGCGATGCCGCTTGAGCTGCTGCCAATGGGCCCGCCGCCGCCGCCGCCGCCGCCGGTCGTCAGGCCGCCGCGCGGCTCACCGACCGCCGGCGGCGGGCCCGCAATTGGCACGGACGGCTTCGCGCCACTGCAAGTGAAGCCATACGCATCGGCCTCCAGCGGCGGCCCCCTGGGAGGCGGCGAGGCTGGCGGCCCCTCCGCCTTTGGACCGGCCGCCTGCCCGCGCCTCGGCGGCCACGCGGCGGCGCCGCCGCCTCGCTCCTGCTGCTGCTGCTGCTGCTGCTGCTGCTCCTGCTGTGGCTCCTCGCCTTCCGCCCACGAGGCCCTTTCGACCTCCGGCCCCACCGCGTCACCCCGCGGCACCGGCAGCACCCCCATAACGCCCACACCCTCCGGCCCGCCGCCGTCAGACAGCCGGCTGACCTGGCCGCCCGTCGTCGGCGGCTGCGGCACCGGGTGCGATCCATAGGACGTCTCCAGCGCGTACCGCCCCCAGTCCTCGCCCGCGCTGCTCGCGCCGCCGCCGCTGCTGCCCCCGGCGGCCAGGCCGCCCGGGCCGGCCGCGAGTGGCGGCGGCGGGGTCGACGCTGCGACGTAGTCGCTTATGCCGCCGCCGCCGCCACCGTCCGAGTCTACAAACCTGCCGTCGAGCGGGCGCCCCCCTTCGCCCCGGCCCGCCGCCGCGGCCGCCTCCCTTGCGGCCCCGCCGTCGCCTTCGCCGCCGATTCGCACCTGCTGCTGCTGCTGTTGCTGTTGCTGCTGCTGCTGCGGCTCCTGCTGCGGCTCCTGCTGCTGCTGCTGCGGCGGCGGCAGGGGCGGCGGCGCGCCCGCCGCGCCGCCGCGCTCCACAAGGATCTGGTAAACTATCGCCTCCAGCAGCGCCGCCACGTCGTTTGACCCGCTCAGGCTGAAGCGCGCCTTGGACTTCACGCGGCCCACTGTGCACGTGTACAGGAAGCGCGGCGGGAACTGCAGCCGCACCAAGCGGCCCATGCCGTCGGGGGTGACGCTCTCGATTGAGGGCCGCCGCCGGTGGCCGTGCGCGGCGGCGGGCGACCCCGCAAACGATACAGACGGCCCTCCGCCGCCGCCCGTCAGGGGCGGGCTGGCCGCGCGAGCGGGCGCGGCGGGGGCTGCGCCCGGCCGCGGAGGCGCCAGCGGCGGGAGCGCGCTGGCCTTCGGTGATGCGCCGTCGCTGCCGGTGCTGAGGCGCAGGCGCGGCTGCTGCTGCTGCTGCTGCTGCTGCTGCTGCTGCTGCTGCTGCGGCGGCAGCGGTGGCGGCGGCTGCTGCTGCTGTCGTGGCAACTGCTGCTGCGGCTGCTGCTGCTGCTGCTGCTGCTCCTGCACCTGCACCTGCTGCTGCGGCTCCCGCCGCCACTCGGTTGAGCTCTCCTCAAAGCTCAGCAGCTCAGGCGTGGAGCTGCCCAGCCGCGCCTGGCCGTCCGGCGACACCGCCGGCACGCCCCACTCCGGCGGCTGCTGTTGCTGCTGCAGCCGCTGCCACTGCCGCTGCTGCTGCAGCTGCCCGCCCGCCGCCCCCGCCTCCAGGTGTGGAACCTCCGGGATACCCGGCAGCGGCGCCGCGGCGAAGGGTGGCAGCGGCGCCGCCGCCGCCGCTGCCGATGAGGAGGCCTGCGCCGCCGTCGCGACCGCGACCGCCGCGTCGACAACCGCCCCATTGACCTGGTGCGGGTGCTGGTGCCCGTGGTGCGGCGCCGCCAGGTGCGCCGCCGCCGCCGCCGCGGCCTGCGCCTGGCGCCGCTGCTCCTGCTGGCGCGCGGCTTGGCGGTGCAGGTGGCGCTCGTGCTGCGCAGCTGCTGCGGCCGCAGCCGCGGCGGCCGCCTGCTGGACTTGGTGCTGCACGGCGGCCCTCAGGTCTGCCCGGCTCTGGCCGTCAATTTTTTGGCCCTCCAATAACGAGTACATGTTTTCGTCCCGGGCCAGCAGGTGGCCGACGCAGAAGCAGAAGTCGAAGGACACGTGATCTGGTCCGAGGTTGTCGGCCATGTGCACGAGGATGCGCTGCAGGGCGACGCCCTTGGTCACGCCGACGGGGCGGACCTGATGGGAGGGGGGTTTGGGGGGTGGGATGTGTGTTGTGGACCATGAGGGGCGAGCAGGTGCTGTTCCGGCGGCGGCCAGCCGAGCGCGTGCGGCCTGGTAGCCAGCCGGTCACCTAGCTGACAACCCCTTGGAGTCAGGGTGTCAGTTGCACACACACAGGGGCTTTGCACGTGCGACCGTACTGGTGGTTGGTCGACCCTCAGCCCCGCGCCGCGAGGGCCCTTTGCCCGATGAGCAGCGCGGCGCTCAGACAGCATGGCATCTGTCAGCCGTCTCCATTTGAATGCACGCAGGGGCGTGATCTGGGGGCGCACCTCCACGCTGCGGCCGCCCTGGATGATCTCCACCGGCGCGTTGCTGATTGGGCCGGTCCACAGGTGCTGCAGGCGTAGAAGTGCCCGATGCAGGGTTGCGGGCGGGGGCCGGGAGGTCAAGGCTGCAGAGAACAAGATTTGGACAGCACAGCCCTAGGCTACCCGCACCAGCCAGCAGGCATCGTCCACTTTGAAACTCCCTGCATACGGCGCAACCATGCGAGCGGCCGAGGCAGGCATCGTCCCATCAGGCGTTGGCAAAGGGTCCCGCGGGCCTCGACTCGACGCCGCGGCAGCAATTCCCCTGTGCCCGTCCTTGAACCCTACTGGGTGCCCCGCGCCCCTGGTCTATGCTACTCTACTCTACTCTACTCATCGATTTCCCTCGACAATCTCTTGAAATCATCTGCCCGGTCTACTCTGATCTACTATAGTCATTAAGATCCTTCGGAATCGCCTGGTGTCATATCTGTCTGTTCACCTGCAGGAGGTCCCTGGCCTGCAGGCGGCCAAACTCCAGGTCAGCGTGCTTGTAGTTCCACACCAGGCTCGTCTCACGCACCTCCACAAACGACCTGGGCGTGGTAAGAGGTGAAGGCCAGCTTATTGGTCGATTGAACGATAGCTGATTAAGCATTTTCCTTGCAGGGACGCTTGCTGGATCGACCGCAACGCCATTTTGCAAAGGCGTCAGGCAGGCAGGGGCGACGCCCGGAGGCGCCTCTGGCCGTGCGTCACCCGGGCCGCGCCGTCACCCTGGCGCCACGCCGGACCGCCGTTCACTGTGAAGTTCACAGCTCACCGTGGTGTCCTCTCGCAGAAGTAGTCGAGCACCAGCTGGACGCTCTCCATCCACTCCTTTGGCAGCGTGTCAAACAGGCACACCCACTCCTGTTTTTTCCGGGAGGGGGGCAAAAAGGGCACGATGGTGTCAACGCGTGCAGGACTGGGGCGGGCGCGCGGGGCGGGCAGCATGGATGGAGGGCAGAACGATAGGAGGGGTGGGGTGGATTAGGGTGTCATGGAGAGGACGATGACGTCACAGGTGAATCACAGGGGTCACATCGGGACAGGGTGAGCGGGACCTGGGCGCCTGCATGTAGGGACGGCAGGGAGGGGCAGCAAGTCTGTGCGCCGGACCGCGCGCCCCGTGGCCGCTCACCGCAAGCGCCGCGCCGCCCTCCGAGTCGATGCTGGGCGGCGGGCGCAGGTAGACGCCGTTCTCCGCGGCCAGCCACACGGGCAGCACCCCAAACGTCTCCTCGAGCTTGTGGCACTGCAGTCGCGGTGACATCATCGTGCGTCATCGCGACGCGCCGCAGAGGGAGGGTGTTGAAGAGGAGTAGTGGGTGGGTGTAGTGCATTGAATCTGCGCAGATACATCCACGGGCTGGAAAATGCACATCCACACCGCCAGGGTGCGGCGCAAGACGACATCTTGATAACGTGCACACACACACACACACACACACACACACACACACACGCAAACACACACTTACACGCACAGAGTGTAGCCAGCACACGCAGCGCGCCGCACGTTTCCCGCACCTCGCTGCCGCTGAAGAGCACCACCGTGTTGGCGGGGTCCTCGCACAACTCCTTGATGCAGTCAATGACGCGGGGGTTGACCCTGTGAGAGTGAGTAGGGGAGGGGGTCATTGAGGGGGGTGACGTGAGGTGGGTGAGGACGCGCTTTGGTTGGGGGAGGGGAGGCGAGCATGGTATGCCGAGCGGGTTGACTGTAATAGGGGAGGGAGGTTCAAGGGTGAAAGTCCGTGCAGGGGTGGAGCCAGGTGTTTCATAAGGTGTGGGATGGCGCGCGCGATGACCCTTGAGTTGCAACGCGAGGTCAAAGACAGGGGAGAGTGGCTTGAGGTTGCGTGCAGGGCGAGGGAGGTTGCGGGGCGACTCAGGCGGGTTGCAAGCGAGGCGGGGCGAGAGAGGGGGGGAGGAAGAGGTTGGGGCAGGAACGATGGGCTCTTT